GCCTCCTGGGCTGCCCTTGTGCCCACTGGTCTCCTCTCTGTGCCCACTTCCCTGGGCCTCCTGGGCTGCCCTTGTGCCCACTGGTCTCCTCTCTGCGCCCACTTCCCTGGGCCTCCTGGGCTGCCCTTGCCACCTCCTGTCTCTGCCTCCCGCAGGCGGGTGGGCGAGGGGCAGTATGGGGTAGTGAACGTCGTCACCGTTTTTTAGACTGCTGTGGTGTCTCTAGAACCTTCTTATGTCCCTCTAGCCTCTATCTGGGGCCTGCAGATAGGCTCTGCTGAGTGGGAGGGATGGAAGAGGGCAGAAGCATGGGGGGCCGACTGAGCCTCCAGACATTCCCTTCGCCCCACCCCTACTGCTCCGGCCTCGGCTTCCTGAGCCTGGGGGGCCATGCTGGCCGGGACTCTCCCCCTCTCCCAGGCCTGTGTGACCGAACACCCCTTCCCCGTGCAGGTGAGGGAAGACTGGAAGTACGTGGCCATGGTGATAGACAGGATCTTCCTCTGGCTGTTCATCATCGTCTGTGTCCTGGGGACCGTCGGGCTTTTCCTTCCTCCCTTCCTGGCCGGAATGATCTGACTTCACGCCTGCCCCTTGCAGCCATCTTTACGGTCTCTGTGGAGGCCCCATGGTGGCCTGGCCTTGGGAGATGCCCCTGGAGAACCCGCCTGACACGGACGCACTGCCTACGCGCCAGGACCTCAGGGTGCAGGGCGAAGAGAAGCAGGTCCATCGGGGATGAGTCTGTGGAGTGAGGGGTGCAGGTGTTGAGTGACAGGCCAAGCGGGTGGGCGGGGCCGGGGCCGAACAGTGGGCGGGGCCAGGTGGTGGGCGGGGCCAGGCAAAGGGGCAAAAACAGTGACTCTCAAGGGCAGGGAAGATGGAGAGGGTCCCCCCCGTCCCCGTGGGGTGGGATGGGAGGTTCTGGGTGGCATCTTGGACTGGGACAGCAGAAGCTGCCGGCAGGGTGGGCTGTGGGAGGAGGTGAGGAAGGCTTGTCTTGGATCTGGCCAGCAAAGGTGGCAGCCTGAGCCTGTGGTCCAGCAGTAAAGTGGGGTGGGCTCTCACAGAAGGGGCCTGGGGGTGGCCGGGCTGGCAAGGCAGGCCGGACCTTCTGGGGTGACAGCTGGTGGGTGCCAGTAGCTGGGCCCTCCCTTCCGTAGGACACTTCCAAGCCCCCAGGTGTCCCCTCACCTGCAGCCCAGCGCCCACCCTGCTGAAGACTGACTGGGCAGCAGCTGCCCCTGGAGGCCAGCCGCACCAGGGGCCTACCTGGGGGTCCCCTCGCTCCGCACATGAGGCTCAAGCTCGCGGGCAGCCCCCCCCCCCAGCGCAGCCCCGTGCTCCATCGTCGGCAGCTGGTCTGCGGCGAGGCTGGTCTGGGAGCGGAGGCCCCGCTGGCCCCTTCCCTGGCCACTCCACAGCCAGCACTGTGGGGCCACACTGGGCTCGGGGGGCCAAGGGGAGCTGGCTGCATTGCTCTGGAGCCTCCTCCCACCTGCTGGGGACCTTTGGGGCTGCTGCCCCCCACCGTGGACTCGAGCAACCCAGGAGCCTAGAGGAGCTGCTTCCCCAGGGGCGGCCTTTGCCGAGCCCCCAGGCCTGTGCAGGCCCCTGCAGGCCACAGCAGCCCCCAGTCCCCCAGGCCCCCCCCCCCCCCAGCTAACAGACACAGTGCTGGGCCAGTGGGGGTTCCCAGAAGGGGGACTGAGCAGGGCAAGCTCCCAGTTTCCTGTTGGCCTTTGGGGTACGCTCCTTCCAAATCCTCACGGGCCGGTCCCCAACAGACCCAGGGGAAACCCCCTGGCTGGGATACCCCAGTCCCACCTCAGCGCCTCAGTTCTCTCCAAAGACGCCCACACAGTGGCCCTTTTACGACTCTGGTCCTTCCCCTTTCCCATAAACGCAGCCCCCCCCCAGACTGGCCTGGCGCGGGGTGTCCTGCCTGTCACTTATTCATGTCTCCGTCCACTCTGCATGTCAGTAAAGAGACGAACGATAAGCCGCTTCCTCAGCCGTGTGCCCGCCTCAGTGTGTCCAGGCCAGCCAGGCCTCCGCGGCCCTGGCCACGTGGCTGCCAGCGGGGACTGTCCTGCATCCCTCTGGGGTCGCCTCGGCCCAGGGCAGTGGCCTGGGCCCCTCACCTGCAGCTGCCGTGGGCACAGGCGGATTCTCCCAAGGAGCAGCGCTGGCCCGGCTGCTCCACAAAGAGCACATCCGAGCAAACCGTAAAGCAAATGATACAATTTTATTCATCCACAAGTCAAATAGAAAGAAGGTAAAAGTGTTTTCCACCGTCACAAGAGAGGAAGGGCGTGGAGGAGGGGGCGGGGCCGGGGCGTGGAGGAGGAGTAAGAAAAGGGAAGCGAAGGGAGGGAGAAGAGGCCGAGGGGGGCTGGCTGTCCAGGGCGGGGCCTTTGGGCCTCACCGCTCCCCTCCTCCCGACCCATGTCCTGCGGATGATGGGGGTCCAGGGCTCCCACAGCTCACTCCTGGCTGTCTGAGGCTCCCCCCTACCCGGGGCACCCGCTGTCAGTCCAGACTACACTCATTAAATAAACTCCAATATACACTGTACAAGGAAGCCGGCCCGCCCTCCTCACCGCTGCCCGACCCCCAAGGAGGGGCCTGCATGGGCCCAGGAGGAGGGGTGGCTAGACCCCCAAATTGGCCCGCCACGTCCACGCATAAAGCCACTGGGTGCACCCCTGCACCCTCAATTGGTCAGGCCGGTGCGAGGGGGGTGTGGCCAGCAGATGGCTCCCCGGGAGCCCTCCGTCACCCCTGTTTCTACAGCCCTGAGTTCCCCTCTGTCTAGCTGCAGCCTGAGCAGCACAGTCTGGGGTTGAGGTGGGGACGGGGTCGTGCGAAGTGGCAAGGGCAGGACCCCTTGGGGACCCCCAGCAGACCCACATGTCCGGAGGCGAGGCGGGGGCGGGGCGGGCAGGGCTCGGCGGGCGGCAGGCAGGGCGAAGACGCAGGGGGTGCCCTTGTCACTCTGCAGGCGGGCGCGCCAGGTTGGCCAGGACCTTGGCCTGGTCCACGGCATCCAGAAGGTTCTTGGCGTCCACGGCCAGGGCGTGGGAGGCCGTGAGCATCTGCCGCTTGCACTCCTCGCTCAGGGAGGTCACCGCGTTTTGCTGGGCCAGTCGCATCTTATTGATGAGCTCGGCCAGGTCCTTGTTGAGCAGTTTCTGGGTCCCCTCAATCTGCCGGAAGTGAGCGCAGGGGAGGCTGGACCGGCTGGCTGCCGAGGCCACGCTCCGTGGGAAGCGAGGCTGCCGCGGCCTCCCGAGCCTCCCAGGGAAGGCAGCTGGGCTCATGCGCCAGGCTGGCAGCCTGGCCGGAGCCGGGCACTCACCTCCGTCCGGGAAGATGGCGGCAGGGAGGGCAGGAGGTCGTCCACGCTCCCAATGAGCTTCCGCAGGGTCATGCCCACATTCTGGGGAGAGGATGGGCAGTGACGGTCACCTCTGGCTTTTCTAAAGGCCACGTTTCCCTCACCAAGAACTCTCCTGGACCGTGCCTGCCTCCTGGAGTTGCCTGGCTCGAAATTCCCTTTGCCCACCTTGACTTAAAGGGAACCTCCTGGGACCGACAGAGGCCTGGCCCCTCCTGCTCCGTCCGAGGCCAGCAGGGCCGCTTCGGTGCCGTGCCCGCTGCCCACTCACCTTCACCACCCCCACGTACTCCTCGGGCGGCAGCTGAGTGAGGTCGTTCTTGAGCTCCAGCACCGCCCGCACCAGCTCTGTCACGTTGAGGTACACCAGGTCGTCCGTCCGGTCCAGGTTAGCCGTGGGCTGGATGGACTGGCGTGCGGAGAGGCGGAGGCAGGGTGAGGCACGCCGGGGGACCCACCTTTCTTTCTGGGCAGGCACCACCGGGGCCAGCTCCCCAGGCGAAGCGCCCCTGCGGCCCCAGAGCCCCGGGCCGGGCACTCCCTCCCTCTCTCCGTGTCCAGGCGTGGTCTCGTGGCCGAGTCTGCGGCCTTCTTACAGCCCACGGGAGCGGCCTCCCGCCAGGCCGTGATCGGCAGGGGCCCGGCGGCCGCCACGCCTCGCGGTGACTCGGACCTGCAGCCCGGGTGGGAACCACGGCTGCAGGAGTGAGGGGACAGGCTTGAGGCGGGACGGGGCCTCGCCCGCCGCCCTGGGGCGAGACCAGTGGTGTCCTTCCGCGGGGCTGGGCTCACGAGACAGGAGACTGGCCTTTCCCTGGCTTCTGTGGAGGGGCTTTGTGGCCTTGGGCCAAGCGAGGCCTGCTCCGGCCCTCGCCCGTAGCGGCTGCTGGGCTGGTCCTCAACGAGGCGCCGAGCCCCGCTCACGGGCTTGTCTCGGGGCCGGGCTCATCATCAGCTTCCGCAGAGCCAGTCCTTACCTGTGTTCCCAGCCTCGGTGGCTTCTGGGGGGGCCCCGTGAACTCCGCTGTGAGGGGAGACGGGGAAGGGGTTGCTCAGCAGCTCCTCCCTGCCCCCCCCGCCAGCCCTCTCCTCACTGCCAGACGACCCGGGAACAAAGCCTGATCCCAGGAGGATGGTGGGGAAACGGCCGCTCTGGTCCCCCCAGTCCTGCTGGGGCCCACTGGGGCCCACTGTCCAGAGAGAGGAGCCCAAGTCGCACGGGCAGGCGAGAGAAGATGGCGCTTCTCCCTGCCGCACGTCCTGCCTGGCACACGCTGGCCTCCCTGCTCGCACGGAGGGGCTCTGGGCTGTGGCCTCCGCCCTGGGCAGCAGAGCTGAGGGGACACGGGAGGCCCCGGGGTCAGCTCAGGCCTGTGGGGTCGAGAAGGCGAGTCGGCAGAACCTCACTGCTCACAGCCACTTTGCTGGGTGGGTCCCGTAGGGCTGCTGCCAGAGCTGGGGGAGCACGGCCCGGGTCGCCCTGTGCCCCCGCCCCTGGAGGGGTTCCCGGCCGCGCTTGTGCAGTCCCTGTGCCTCGGCTTCCATTTGTCAAAGGAGAGAGCCCGGCAGGACCATGCACCGGGGGCCGGGCTCCCGAGCCTGCCACGCCCGTGCGAGGGGCCTGGCGTCATCTCGGCTGTCTCGTGGGCTGCACCGCCGTGGCCACCCCTTGGCACCTGCCGGGCTGGGCGCTGTTACGTGGGGGTGGGTGCTGTTACGTGGGCTGGGCACTGTTACGTGAGGCCGGGCGCTATTACGTGGGGGTGGGTGCTGTTATGTGGGCTGGGCGCTGTTGCGTGGGCTGGGCGCTGTTACGTGGAGGTGGGCGCTGTTATGTGGCCCAGGAGCTGTTACGTGGGCCGGGCACTGTGACGTGGGCCGGGCGCTGTGTCGTGGGCCGGGAGCTGTTATATGGGCTGGGCCTGTTACGTGTGCAGGGTGCTGTTATGTGGGAGTGGGCACTGTTACGTGGGGGTGGGTGCTGTTACGTGGGCCGGGCACTGTTACGTGGGCCGGGCGCTGTGACGTGGGCCGGGCTGTTAAGGTCAGTGCCACATCCCCAGCTGCCCCCTCTGGGATGAAGATGAGGAGCCAGACTCTGCCGCCTCCCCCGCCCCACCTCGGGCAGGGGCTTCTGGAGAGCCCCCCTGTGCCCCCTGCCCGCCCTCCTCTCCCACCCCAGGGCCCTGAGGTGAGCCTCGCTGGGAGGCAGGCGGAGCTACTACAGCCTCCTCAAGTGTCTCCAGTGGGGGACAGCTGGGGCCCAGCACCTCCAAGTAAGTGTGTGGGGGGGTCAGGGCACAGACGGTCTGAGGCCGGACCCGGGACCCCGCAGCAGAGAGAGGAAAGAAACAGGGGCCTGGGCGGGGCGAGCAAGGAGGTGGGGCGCCACATGACCGAGGGCTCGCTCTGAACCCCCAAACTAAGCTTCTCTGCGTGTTCCGACTCGGGCCAGGGCAGGCGTGTCTGAAGCCGCAGGCCGACCCCGATGCCTGGCCAAGCGGGGACCCACGTGCATGCCGCGTGCAGAGTCCGGGGGTACTCACTGTAGCCGGCCTCCTTTTCTGGGGTCTGGGAGAAAGGAAGGAGAGGGCAGGTCACAAAGGCAGCCCTGGGGATCCTCCTCCCCTCTCCGACGCGCCCCCACTCCTCAACCTGCAGTTCGAGGCCCCAGGGGTGCTCCTGAGCCAGAGGGGCTGGGGGCTTCTGCCTCCCTGGTGCTGGGCAACGGCTGGGCGCCAGGGTGCCCAGCACGGGGGAGCTTGGGGAGGGAGGAGACTGGCCCCCAGAGGACAGGCAGAGGAGGTGGCAGCCCGAGGCCTGGAGCTGGGGTCCTGTCCCCCAAGGCTCCCCCACCAGGCCCTGACGCGAGACAGAGCAGTGACTTACCAGCGGGGACTTGTCATTCATGTAGACCATGGGGTCCTGGAGGGAGCGAGCAAAGCAGAGGTCTTAGGGTTCTGCGACAGAAAGCCCCGAGGATGCCGGGGGAGCAGCCCCGCCAGCTGGCAAGGGGGAGAGAGTGGGGAGGCACGAGGGTGCGGCAGCCCAGCCACCTCCCGCCAGCCTGCGGGCTGCTGCAGACACGCCCGGCTGCACCGCGCTCACCAGGGACTTCTCCTCCCGCCTCAGCCACTGGTAGTCCTCCACCATCTGCTTCTGCTGCTTGTCCAGAATCTGCCGCATCTTGGCCCTCTCGGCCTCCCACAGCTGCTGGGCCTCCTCGCGGCTGCTGGGCCGGACGAAGTCCTCCTCCTGGGGCGCAGCGGGGAGAGGAGAGGGCGCCCTGAGCCGCGTGCCCGCCGGCTGGGGGCGGGAGGAGCCCTGAGGCTCCCCCGGGAGCGTGGTCCTCCAGCCCACGGCCACGGGCGCGCACTGAGCCCAGGGCACAGCCTGCCGCGACAGCTGTGCCCTCAACGACTGCCCTTGTATTTTCTCTGCGGGCATCTCAGGGTCACTGTCACCTAATAAGCTGAGGACGGCAAAGCCGGCCCCTGGGAAGCGCTGGGTGCTGGCCTCGGCCCCGCGGCAGCCCACCTGGACGTTGTGGGCAGTGAAGCTGTCCAGCAAGGCGGGGCCTGGCTGGGGGCGCATGCACCCGCGAAGGCGCCTTTCTACGGAAACAGACCCCGCACTCAGACAACACCGTGCAGACTCATCAAGCTGAAAGACACGCGCACCGGGAGCTAGGAGGGGCAAGCGCCGAGAAGTACTGTGCTGGAGATGTGCAGAAATCTCCCCTTAGCTGTCTTAGCGCAGCCCGTCTCGTCGGACGCGGCCTTTGCCCTTACTCAGCTTGATTCCTTAAGCAAGAGCGGTGCGTCTCTTCTTATTACTCCCTGAGCCCTGCCCGGGGCTCACGCCCACAACTTCCCGCTCAGTCACTTCAAACGGTCTCGCTTGTGGCTGCTGCACGCGGTTGTGTGGCCTCCTGTGGGTCACTGGCGGCTGGGCGCCCCCAGAGCGCCGGGGGAGACCTTTCCCTGGCATCCAGCTCAGCAGGGCGATGCATGACCTCACCAGCCGCTTGCACACATGCTGTCTACTTTACTCTCTCCTGCTTGGGTGAGTCATCATCTCGGATGGGCCTCTAGAAGGAGGCCCCACGAACTGTCCAAAACACAGTTGCTCCAGCCACGCAGCTTATGTAGTTCAAAATAGTCACACTGGGGTTTTTCCATGTATCCATGAGCTTCAGTTGCTGCTCTCAACTTCTAACAGACTCCCCTCACCAGTCAGACTCCGGGCTGAGAGATTCTCGGCTCAGTCACCTACTCAGCCACTGTTTATGCAGCAACTGCTATTTCGCAACCAGGGCCAGGTGCCGGAGACTAGGATGGTGGACAGGGCCGTGTCCTGTTGTCCATGAGCTACATGAACAAGAGCAGGCCCGGGGTTCTCAGCCTCGGCGCTGCTGCTGTTTCAGGTCTGACGCTTCCTCGCGGGGGGGTGGGGGGGGCGGCTCCCCTGCCTATTGCAGGATGCTCAGCAGCAGCTGTGGCTGCCATCTTGGCTGCCAGGCGCTTTTACGCCTCCCCTGTTGTAGCAAAAGTGCCTCTAGTCACCCCCAGTGTCCCCTCAAAATCATCTTGTTTGAGAGGAGCTGCACTAGACCTCATTTTAAGAAAAAAAAAAATCCAAATGTAAGAGTATTTTATAAGTATAAGCTTGGTAGGAATAGAATAAGCTACTTTTTTATTTTATTTATTTACGTGGAGGGTGGTGCTCTCCCTGGGGGTATTTTAGTCCTAGAAACAGTCCCAGCTGAACATCACCACCTACATACACAGTGGCCTGGCCACTGGGGCCACTGACCAGCAGGCATCAGACATTCTGAATAAAGAGCTAGGACTTGCCAGGCCTGAGAAAGGTGGACGGTCCAAGGCTGAGTGAGCCCAGGAGTCACCGGGGCCCAGAAACCGCCGCGCTGTGAATGCTGAAGGCAGGTCCTGACACAGCCACCTCACCTGTCCTGGTACCATCACACCCAGTGTCTCGCCACAAGCGGCAGGTCTGTTCCTGCGCCTTCCGATTTAATAGTAAGGCTCAAGGGCAAACGAGATTAAAAACATTGACTTGGCGTAAGTCTTACAGGGCTTACTTGCCTGAAACGTAGCTCAGCGATTCTTAGCAGGCAATTGCTACACACTCTTCAGAGGAACCGGGCCCTTGTGTTTTAAAACGACTCTCCCAAGCTGGCCACCTCCATCCTCTGGCTACCCCATCCTGCCAGCCCGTCCCCTTGTTCCATCTTCCTCATTGCACTCAACCTGCCCCACACCTCCCTTCGGCTTCCCGACACTCGGTCTTGGCTCGGTCTCGCCTCCGCCTCTCCCACCCCCTGCATCTGAGTTTCTTCCTGTCCAAACCTTTCTCCTCCTCTGAGGCCCAGCTGAATAAAAAAAGCTGGAACGCAGAGTCGTTTCCCCTCTAAAATCCGGTGCACCTTTGCCTATCTCTTTGATCCACTCACCCCTCCTGGTTTGCATTCTAGTAAATGTGCACCTGGCCTGCTCCTTCTGGCGGGCGGGAAGCTCACTGAAGGCAGAACCAACCGGTTCTCTTTTCAGCACCGAGGTCAGCGCCTAGCCAGCCTCAAGGCTAGTGAGCAAATTTTATGACTATTTTAAACCCCAATTGTGAGGATTTCAAGAGGGAGACTGAAGCCATCTTGACTCTGGGTTGGCAACCCACAGGTTCCCAGATGAGTCAGGCAAGAATTAGTCAGTAGGAAATTGTTTTTGCTGGAAATCTATCCCTGATTTCGCTAGATGCTTTCAAATACTTTGCAGGGAGTCTATTCCACCTTTTCAATCTTCTGCATGGAAGAGACCTTTCAGTGCTTCTGGTATAGATGCACCATAAAATGGGGTTTATGCCTTTAACTTTATTTTTTTTTTGGTTTATTTAAAGAAATGCTCATTATGTTCTTTTAGGCAGACTTTCCTTCTGGCAAGTATTTCTAAGCCCCTGCCACAAAAGGCCTTTTTCCCTCCTGCAGTCTGTCTTTATGGAACTGAACTAAGTCCTGATGGGGCTGCAGGGCACAGACAAAGGCAAAGCCACCCCTCCAATGTGCAAAATAGCTTCTTTTTAAAAGGATACAATTTAAAGCAAAACTCACTAAAATTCAATTAATTATGAATAAAGAGTCAAAGGCAGGGGGGTGGAGGAGCAGAACACTGCCTAAATTATAGTGCATACTTGAAAGTGAAGCGTTATTATTATTAAGTCTGTGCTAAGATAGAATTGGTTAAATTAATATAAAAGAGAAAAATGAGAAAGGTCAGCAGAAAATTTATTCCCCCACAATGGGGCCTGCTCCCTGTGGTCCCTCTGTGTATCTTACTCATTTTGGAGTCCTACTGAATTGAGAATAGTGACACAGAATAGAACAACACACTGTGTCATGTTTTCTGCACCTGCTGTGGGAAACGTACTTTCCCCCCAAATTTGAGTCCCATATACTGAGTCTGAAGCATCACGCATGTATGCAGAGTATACAGGTTGTTTAGAGTCTGAATAATAAGGATGTTAGTGTGTTTTGTCAACACCAAGAGTCAGGTTAGTGAAACAGGTCAAGCGTTCGTGGTCACCGACCACAGGGGCTATTTGCACTGAAAGGGGTCAGTGGACATCTCGTCACAAGCAAAAACACCTTCAAAGAAAACAAGGCTTCACGACTGGACTCGACAGACTCGAGGAAGCTGGTGACAGAGGTGACCAGGGAGGGTGGCTGAGCCCCCCGTGGCCCCCAAGCTGCCTCCATACAGCAACTCGTACAGAAGCAGCAGGCACAGCTGTCACAGGGAAGCATTTCCCTTGACTGGGGAGAGACTGAGCAACCAGACAACGAGGCGGGAATGGCGGAGCGGAGCCAGCCCCCCGCACTGGGCTCGGCCGCCCGCTGCACCTGCCCCACAGGACACCTGGGGCTCAGGAAAGGCGACGCCACGTCCTTCAGCACTAAGGGCAGGGGCAGCCCAGAGCCCGAGTCCAGGGAGCAGCGGAGCGGAGCGGAGCTGGCTGGAGCCCCAGGCTGCTGTGTTTGCATGGGAGAGGCTGTCACGGAGCCCCGGTGGCCTGGCCGACACACACAAGCGAAGAGAGCACCTCCTGAGCTCGAGGCGCGGGGTCCTGCGGCCCCCGGACCCCTCCCTCCAGCAGCTTCTTCGGTGCAGGCGGGGACCCGGCATGCAGAGTCCTTACCCGCATGCTGTGGCGCTTGAAGACATTGTGCCGGTGGAGAGGCGGGGTGTGCAGCGAGTTTACGGGAGATGGGTACTCCATAGGGCTGGTGAGCGTAGGTGAGCTGGCACACAGACCCTCAGGGACCTATTCAGGAGAAGCAGAGAAGCACCAGGCACAGGGACAAGGCCAGAAGGTGGACAATTAGCGGCCACAAACATGCGCACAAAGAAACAATACTTGAACACTACGGGAGGACCCGCACGAGGCCTCCGGAGCTGACAAAGAGCGCGGCGGGCGTGTTGCTGGGGACACACACGGCTCTCGGCTGCGAGCTGGCGCTGTCCTAGGGGCTGGGGAGAAGCATCCCCCCAGCATGAGGGGTCACCCGTGGGACTGTCCTACAGGGAACACGTCTCCCGCAGGGTCCTCGGGAAAGACCTGTCCCTCGCAGGTTTACGTCGTGTTGCAAGTGGCCAGGTGTGGTTCGCCTACAGAGACGTGCCTGCCTATGAACGTTACTTGCGGACTATTTTAGACATCCCAAATAGGCGCGTTTCCCTTGAGGGGCAGGGCTTCTGTCCCCTGCACCCTCGTGCCAACGGGTGACGCGGTACTTCCGAAATTCTATAATCACCTAAATGAATGGTGAGCCAAGAAATTAAAGACGTCTCTGTCTGCTCGGGCTTGTTCTGACCCAGGACGTTCCTTGGGGAGAAAGGGATGACCAGGAACACCACCTCCCTGTAAACGCTACCCAATCAGCGGGCTGTTTCTGAGGGTCGAGACGCTCGGTGATCACGGCGCTCTGAGCTCAGGGCCAGGGCCCGCTGCCTGAGGTGCGAGACGAGGTCGGACTGCAGCTCTGGGGGGGCGGGGCGGCAGGGCTGGGGCCCCACCTGGCTGGGGTGCTGGCGGGTCTGCTCGAGTGTGTGTCACTGAGCACTCTGAGTTCAAGTTGTTTTTTTTTGGTACCAAGGAAGAGCTGATGCAGGCCACGCCCGGCACCCAAGGGCAGCAGGAGGCTGTTCCGGGAAGGACGGAGGGACGGAGGCCTCGCGACACTGTCTCGTGCGCTTACCTGGAACTGCAGCTTGGGCGCCAGCAGGTTGGTTTGTGGAGGGGGCCTGAACTTGGGCCGGCTGGGCTGGAGAGAGAAACCAGAGGTGACCCGCCTTGCCTCTCCTGGGGGCGAGGGCCGCTCACCCAGGGAACCAGGTCGGAGGGGGCTTGTTACGAAGGATGGAGAGAGGAGGGTCAGGGCATCGCTCAGCAATTCCGCGTCTACGTGTCAAGCGCGGCACAGGGGGGAGAGGGAAGCCTCACTGCCCTCCTGGTGTCCTTGGGGCCCACGGTCGCTAATTGGAGGGCCCCCGGCAGCGTGTGGCTTCCCTAGATGTGGGAGCCCCTGCCAAGTCAGTAGCGAGACTCACAGAAGTGGGGGGTCATGGGAAAGACACCTGAGCTGGGCCCAGGCCAGCGGGCGCTGAGGAAGGGCCCTGGGCCGGGCAGCTGTGCGATGGGAGTGTGGGGACCCTCCATCCACAGGGTGAAGCCCTACCCTCCAGTGGGATGGCATTCGGGGGTGAACCCCTCGGTTTAGGTGAAGCCATGAAGGTGGGACCCCGGGCTGGGGTTAGTGTCTTCCAAGAAGAGACCCGGAGGCCCTTGCTGTCCCCCGGGGGCGGACTCAGGAGCGGGTGCCGTCTGGAAGCCAGGAGAGGCCCCTGCCCGCAGTGACTGCCGATATATTGATCGGGGACTCCCTCGCCTCTGGAGCCCCTTGGCTTAGGTCACCCAGTCTCTGGGGCTTTGATGTGGCAGCCTGAGCAGGCTCATTCGGGCGCCTTTCTTCAGAGTGGCCTAGTGCGGGGCCCTGGCCTCAAGTCCAGAGGTGCCTCAGGGCACATGGACGTGGGGGCTGGGCCTAGACCACTCACCCCCACCCCTGCTCACGGCTCCCAGGCGATCTGTATTTGCCTAAAACACACCGAGAAGTGCCTGCCTTGCAAGGGACATGTCCCCAGGGGCGATTCTCTGCCTCAAAGACCCCAAAGGCACGTGCTCTCTTGCCAGGGCACCGAGGTGATGGGGTGGGGGAGCTCTGGCTGTGAGCGGCTGGGCTGGGGCAGTGTGTGTGTCTGAGTGTGTGCAGGAGGGGAGCGGGCGGTGGGTGACTGCCAGGAGGGTGCCAGGGGTTGCAGCTCCGGTGAGCGTCACGGGCCCACAACACAGGGCTAACCTTGGGTGGCGGCTCCTGGTAGACTATGGGCTCCAAGATTTTGGGGGGTCGGTAGCGCGTGTTCCTCTCCTGCTCTATGGCGATGTCTTTCTCCATCTGGTAAATGTCACTGCTCAGGAGTCAGGTCAGAGAAGGTGAGAAACAAGGTCAACGGTGCTCCCTGGAGCTCATCCCTCCATTCAAGGGGACTCGAGACCCCTTTCCTTTGCAGAGGAAACCTGGGAAGACCCTCTGAGAGAGCCTGGGGCTGCAGCACCCCCCATGGAGGCTCACAGGAAGCAGTGCAAAGCTGGAAAGCCCTTGGGAGCCAGTCCCCGCCCAGTGGGCAGCGACCACTGGGCCTCCCCGCCCCGCCCTGCCCCGTCCGCCATGCCACCCCGCGCGGCCCCGACTGAGCTCTGACGCCCCGGCCAGCTGCACGACCAAGGCCCGTGCTCTACTGGGCCTGTTTTCATGAAACTTCCACCGGGGCACGCAGCCATGTTCAGGGGAGAGGCGGTGCACTCACTCCCGGGGTAGCTGGGGGGTGCATCTCGTCTCCCTTACCCCACCCAGGTGCAGGCCAGCCTGGGACGATGGACCCCCAGGACGCCGGAAAGCCGGCCGGGCCCCTGAGTCCGCACGCTCTTGCATACGGGCACCCACCGGCTCACAGACCACCTGCGCTGGCCGAGACGCCCAGGCCCAGGCCGAGCCGCTCCCGCCCGGGCATGGGGCCAGCAGCGAGCCCAGTGGACAGCCTGCCCCGGAAATGCCCAGCAGGCCAGGCCCGCCGCCTGTCCTACCAGTCCCCGCGCAGGGCCAGCTCAGGCGCCAGTCACTTCCCTGGTCCTTAGTTGTTTACTGTCTGGCGCCTGCTTGACAGAAATCCAATAGTTTATGTCCCTTAAATTGCTCCTTTAGCCATTTTGGAAGTAAAGGAGTCCAGGCTGAAGGCAGCGACGCCCCAGGCCGGTTTCATGAAACACCTTGGGCTCGAGTCTCGGCGTCCAGGGCCTGCCGACCTGTCGGGGGGACTCACTGCCTGAGTGGGGCTCGGGGCTGTGTTGTCAAGTGCACAGGCACAGTTAGATTTCCTACGGGTCCTCGAACCCACCGCACAGCTCACTGTGTCTCGCCGGCTGGGGGACTCGGAACGTGTAAGCACCGCTCCGTGGAGACCTCGACATTTAACGAACTTCTCACTCCAAAGACTGGGAGGGACGCTTCCAATTCTTTCTTCACCCCAACGAGGGCTGTCAGACGGTGTGACTGGGGCCCTGGGGTCTTGGGGTGACCTTCCCCTCACACCCGAACAGCTCCTGGCCACCCATGGCAAGTGGACAGGTACCTGGAATCTCTCCCCCCAAATAACACCCCTCGCCGCTCCCCAGGGTTCTTGAACCCCCAGAATGACTCATGAATGAACGATCACCCCAGGGGCTTCTCAAGTAGCGCCTTCCAAATAGTTTTCTTTTGAAATCCTCTGGCTTTTCAAATCTCCTCTACGGAGGGAACTAGAACGAGCTGGGGAGTCAAGGGGCCCTTTACGCTGGCGATCTCCCGGGCCGACTGGGGCCCCTTCCCCTACGGACGGATGCAGGGTCATTTCCAC